TTTTCTTGGAGCAAGTGTTCTCAAAAATACTACCTAAAATCTTTTATTTTAATATATGAATCATGAACATCATTACCAGTAGTTTCATTATTCATTGGGTCAAGTTTTTTGGCTGTTATTTTTTCTGTTTGAGCCCTTTTTCTTCGAGACCAAGGATATTTATGGACATGCATAGAAACTTTAAAATCTGCAGTTGTATCCCTATCATCTTCTAAATCCTCCATGACTTCATCCTAAAATATAATAAATTTTTTAATTTGATACTACATACTTGTAAAGTAGAAATATTGATGATTTTTTTTAAAGTTTAATTAAAATTGACTTTCTAATTCTAATCAGCATGCCTTTACAGCTAATTAAGCTTAATTATTTACACACTAATCGATATTAGTAAATTATTGAAGCAAATGAATTGTACAATACAAACAAATAACAATTTATGATTGTTATAAGAACATAAAATGAATACAAACATTAGTAAAAATACATATCTTTAAGAGTAAAATAGAGTTAGAATATTCAATTAAAAAAATTTAAATAGTATTTCGTATGGTAAGAGAAAAATTGAATTCAAATTTGCATTAAATGATGGAGGATTTGTAATGCTAAAATACTTTCTTCCACTTGTTGTTTTACCAGTATAAATAATCTCTTCCTTGATATTCAATGAGAAAGTTGTGTAATAAAAATAAAAATTTTCTACAAACTTGTCCATAACTGCTAATGTAGAAAGTATTTTCAATTCAAGAAATTTAATTTGTAAAAATATATAACTGAGGGTAAAGGGGTCATTAAAATAAATAAATAAAAAAAAACAAAAACAGGTATGTCAAAAAATTATACCAATATTTAAAGCACAATTTATAAAAAAAATGTATTGTTAATATTCAGAGTATGAAAACAAATATAAAGTGGCAAAATAAAAGTAATATTAAATGCATTAAAAATTACAGCATTTTAAACTCAAAAAATTTCATATAAAACAACATTTTTATGATAAATTACAAAAATATGGAGAAAAAGAGGTTACTATAAAAAGCCTAATAAGCTTAAATTGATGTTAAATAAAAATGATTTACGTACTAAAGCACAAGATAAAAGATTAGTACATTATGGTAAACATCTTAAATGTTTTTACTTTGAAACTGATGTTTTCTGTAACATGAAAATTATGACAAAAATAGAAAAGTAGCAAGTATAAAGTTGCTAAGAATACTGTAGAAATTCTAAGCATAGTTATTAAGTTACACATACTCTGACTTTTAAAACTTTAATTTCACTTTTACAAGAAGCAATGATGTTATTGGTAAAATAAAATTAATACTGAAATTAAAGAAAAAAATAATTTCAATAAGGGATAGTCTCAAAAATGATTAAAGATAAAAATAAATACACTAACTGAGATCAAATGACAAGGAAATAATTTTTAAGTAAAACATTTCAGGGATTAGCTATAAAACAATTAAAATACTAAAACTTAAGAATAGAGAAATCACACTGATTGACATAATATAAATAAAAAATACACAATAAGAAATTTAAAATTGAAATTGAATATTATTTCAATATAACATATGTTATCAATAAAGATATTAAACTTAAAAGCTTATCTATATCTGTTATAAAAAATAAATAATTTATATCTTAAATAAAATTTTGAATAAAGAAAATTTTAAAAGTATATAATGTTTTGAAGATAATTTGTGTTTATGTTTAGTAAGAAGTATTTTGTTTTATATTAAAAAAGTGTAAGGAAGAAAAAACTTAAATTTGCACCTTACCTGACTTTCAGTAGAAAGACAAATGTGAACATTAAACTGGCGAGGCTTTTTAAAATATCTGTGGCATTTTTTACACCAATATAATCCATCTGGTGCTTTTAAAGGAATCGGAGGTGTTTTCTTTTCAGGAATGAAGTAATTGAAATTAGACCTAGAATTAGATAAAATGAATCTTACGAAGAAAAAAAAAAACTTCAATTGTGATTAGAAAATAGACATGTCATTTTGGGTAGAACCACTAAAAATCACAAGTAAAAAGTTTATTACTTTCAAGACTATTATTTATGTATAGTGTCTATATGTTGCTCTGTTAAAATGTCATATCTGGCATAAAAATTGAGAAGCAATTTTCTTCTCAAAATTTTGTATATTACTGCTAGTATACAGTGTCTTCTATATGTCGCTTTGTAAAGAAGTTATATATTTGGCATGACTGTAATATGTCTGGCTGACAAAATTAGTTAAAAAAATACAAGTTAGTCAAAATAGTCATTAGTGATTGACAAAAAAAAGAAGGTTCAAATCTCGTCTAGACAAGTTAGTAAGCAATTTTATTGAACACAGCAGGTTGATCTTGGAAGCAAGCATCTGTGCATAAGTTGTTAGATAGTTGTCAAAGGGCAATGAAATTGCACAGCAATCACTGTCCAATTAATTCAAAATACAATTTAAAAAAATATATTTGAACAAAGTAACGTGACTCTCTAGCTTTTAATTCAAGGAGTAATTTGATAATTTGGCTTCAAAAATAAATGAGTTAAAAACATAATATTACCTAGAAACATCTTCTCAAGGAGAAAGCCAAACACAAAGTTTTAAAGGCGCAGAAAATGTTAAAAAAATATTTTAATAAAAAGTCGTTTCTTTCTTTTTCCTTTGAGAATCAAATAAAAAAGTTATACGGAGTAATTTTTTATTTAATTTTACAAAATGGTGACCCTTTTCAAAGAAAAAAAAGGGGGGTGAGTAAAATACATCACAGGAGAATTTTATAACAGTTCCTACTCCATATTCTATTATGATTTAGGTATAAGTAAAGGTTGATAGTCTCTTTCAGATTACTTTTGAATTAAATGTTAAAAACATGTCTAAAGGACAAGATATGAGTATCAAGGATAAATTTTAAATATATTTCAATTTATAAATAATATTGAAAGTTAAAAAAGCTTTTATAAACTTTTAAGAGATGTATCGTTAATTTCAAAATCTGTTAGTTAAACCACAATATGTAATTTAAGACTTCTGTAAATTAAAAAATGTAGCTCAAGTTAATCAAAACATCACAGGTAAAAAAGCAGTTTAAATAAAACATAAATGTAGTAATTATATAACTTTTAGTGTATACATGCTGATTTAAAAAATCAGCAACTTTAAAACATCAAATTTTCTTGGAGCAAGTGTGATTTAATAAACATTAGAATTACACAATAAAAAATTATTTCTGAATGAATGCTTTGAAAATATGGAGTATTGATTTTGATGGTGCTCTATCACCATCCACCAGTCCAGAGAAGTTATTACGAAATAAAAATGTTGATCAATTCGAAAAAATTTAATTTCGTTAATTGCATTGAAACTGCTCCTAATTTCTTTTATTATTCTAGAACTTATAATAATACTTTAAACATGTCTTTATTACTAATTGTTAAAAAAAGGGAGTTATTTAATTTATTAAGAGTTTTTCTTGGGTAACAAGATGCTGCTTTTAACTGACAAAAAAAGTTTTAAGTTGGTTTAAAAACTTTTTCCTTATTCAAGAAAATTTGATGATTTTTAATAAATATTTTCAAGTCTTTACACAGAAACTATGAATTACAGTATAACCATAAAATGTTAATATTCTTAATAATGGCGAGAAAAAAAAAGTTTTTTTTCCCCCTCTGTGTTTACATTTTTATAACTGCATTAAGCTTTCTTTTCAAAAACCTAGATGTGCTGAAATACTTCACATAAAGCAGGATTTACATACCTATAACATTCAATTGTAAGAACATAAATTTAATTTGAAAAAAAAAATCTATAATATAAATATAGAGATAATTTTATTTTAATCAGAGTTTCCTAATGTTTTGTTTTGATTAATAAGAGAGAAAATTTCTAACTTCTTCACCTAATTTTTAAACCAAAGCGAATTCTAAAAATTCAATAATAAAAACATTTCAACATAAAAAAGCTATAAAATTTAACCTTTCGGAATCAGATTTTCTTGGTCGTCCAATTCTCCTTGCTGTGCTTTTAGTATCTAAATGAATTGAAAGAATTGAAATGCATTTAATGTTTTCTAAAGACATTTTAAACAACAAGAAAGCAAAGCAAAATATATGTAAAACATAAGATATTTTTCTAAGAGATAATATGTAACTTTGCATAGGAAAATATGAAGATAGAAAAGAATGCAAAAAACACAAATAAATATACTATCCTTTTTTACCTGTTTCTTATATTATTTTAGTTATAATATCATTCAAAGCGCATGCATTGACTTGAAACATTTTAAGTTTATCAAAAATGAGTCTTTTGTAAATTCTAGTTTTAATTATTCAGAGTAAGTGTTGCTGTTAGCCACTGTTTGTTTTTATTGCTTTGAGAGCATATTATTACTTAAATTGGCCGAATCAAAATAACCTATTTTATAATTTAAGCCATTTAACTTTTTTATTTTATGAATCATGGTTAGAAAAGAAATATGTTACTTTTCTTACAGAATGCAAACCTCCTCAAGTCTCAGTAACAACATCGTAGCAATTTTAGTTTTAAATATTGTAATTGTACAAGCATGCGATTAGTTAATCAAAGTGAAACAAGATAACATGATTAATAGAAATAGATAGAATCAGGCAAATAATTTTAGTTTGTATGCAATCGTAATAAAAGAAATTAAGCAAATATTACTTTTAGCTGAATGAAAAATTTTAGAATACAAAACAAGAATCATCAAACTTTTAATACTTATATTTTGATGAAAAAATCTTTTAAATTCATCCCATCTTTTAAAGATTACAATAAATAATTTGCATCTAAAATTATATTACATAATAATTATAATTACATAAAAAATTTGCATCTGAAGCAAGCTTAATCAAGCAAAGTTACTGAGATATTTTGAATAAAAAGATGTAAAAAAAGACATGTTCACATCTTTTAAGTAATATGTTTTTAAAGTGAGAAATTTTCAATCACTTAGCAAGAATTTATAAATCAGAAAAAATATAAGTATTCTTTTGGGTGAATTAATTAACTCTTTGGCCATTAAACAAATGAACAAGTTGAACACTGTTTGTTAACCTAATAAAATTGGAAAAAATCATTTTTCATTGTCGAGTTAATTACCTGGGACAATTACAAGATGTTGAGTAGAATTGCATTCCATCATATCAAATTTTCTTCATCCTAGAAAAAAAACATTACAGTTTTAAAATATAAATTTATAAAACTTTATTTTTCAAATCATGAATTTAAAAAAAAGAGTTTTAACATAAAGATTAAATAAGATAGCCTATTAATCTCTATATGAAATATAGTTATCTCTCTATGTGAATTAATTCTAAATATATAATTTAAACCTTTAACTTTTATAATCTTGTTTATTATCATAGCAGTTGTACAAATAATTTTCTAAAAAGTATTAGTACTCATTAAGGTTACTTGTAAAGTACAAAAATATTTTGTTCAGTTGCTTCAAACTAATTAAAATGGTCTTCTGTTTATTTAATAAAAATATAGTAAACTTCATATTATTTCAGATGCATAAATTATTTGCACCAATAAATAAATTTTTTAACTAAAGATGTAATGAATATTCTGCCACTATTCCATATTCGGCCCTTTTGCCTAATATTTGGTAAAGTATGCTTTGAAAAAATATTGTTGACACAGTTTATTTATTTTGAGTTTGAATAGACTTAATAAAGAACAATCTAAAAGTGTATTTTTTACTATACATTATTAGAAATAGTTTTTACACATATTTGAGAAGTTATAAAATAGGAGTGCACAATCTGCGGCCCATGAGAACTTCTGAACACAATGAATTTTCTTTCATATTTTTCAAAAATAAAAAAAAATTGTTGCAAACTTTCACTTATTTGAATTGTCACTTATTAATGTGCTCAATTTGCACAGATTCTGTGTTGCTTCTTGATTGCTTTTTTAGTGGTTGCTGCTATGAAATTCGGCGTGATTTTTAAAAAAACAAATATTTTTAATAGGATACTATGTTGCGTGAATTGTGAATTTGAGTAATTACTTTTTGACTCGCTTTATTTTTGCCAATTTCATGGTAAATCCAATTGACGTCTCATTTTTTTACGCATTTATAACTAGTAATTCCCATTCTGGTTTTTAAAATTCCGATGCATTCATCACAATATTATAGGTCATGAGAGTCCATTGTAAATCATGATTAATTAATTTTTTTAAAGGTAGTTATTGCTACGCTTTTCTACATGATTTTGAAAGTCCCACATTTTTACTACAATATTATTACGACACTCGATCAAATACCAAATTCAAATAATCACTTTCTGACATGCTTTGATTTTGCTAAGTTATTCTTCAACTAATTTTTAAAAATTCCAATTTTCATTCTGATATGCAAATTATAAATCACACATTTAAATAATTACATAATTACATGAGTTAAAAAAATACAAGTTAGTCNCAAGTCTCAGTAACAACATCGTAGCAATTTTAGTTTTAAATATTGTAATTGTACAAGCATGCGATTAGTTAATCAAAGTGAAACAAGATAACATGATTAATAGAAATAGATAGAATCAGGCAAATAATTTTAGTTTGTATGCAATCGTAATAAAAGAAATTAAGCAAATATTACTTTTAGCTGAATGAAAAATTTTAGAATACAAAACAAGAATCATCAAACTTTTAATACTTATATTTTGATGAAAAAATCTTTTAAATTCATCCCATCTTTTAAAGATTACAATAAATAATTTGCATCTAAAATTATATTACATAATAATTATAATTACATAAAAAATTTGCATCTGAAGCAAGCTTAATCAAGCAAAGTTACTAAGATATTGACCAATGTATTATTATGCTAAAAAGATGTAAAAAAAGACATCACATCTTTTAAGTAATACGTTTTTAAAGTGAGGAATTTTCAATCACTTAGCAAGAATTTATAAATCAGAAAAAATATAAGTTTTCTTCTGGGTGAATTAATTAACTCTATGGCCATTAAACAAATGAACAAGTTTAACACTGTTTTCACCCCTATAAAAATGGAAAAAAAAAATCAGTTTTCCTTTTCACTGTCGAGTTACTTACCTGGTACAATTACAAACTGTTGAGTAGAATTGCATTCCATCATATCAAATCTCTTTCATCCTAGAAAAATACATTTCAGTTTTAAAATATAAATTTATAAAGCTTTATTTTTCAAATCATGAATTTAAGAAAAAGAGTTTTAACATAGAGATTAAATAAGATAGCCTATTAATCTCTATGTGCATTAATTCTAAATACATAATTTAAACCTTTTACTTCTAAATATATAATTTTAAAATAAATTCTCTTGTTTATTATCATAATAGTTGTACAAAAAATTTCTTAAATAAGTGTTAGTACTCATTAAGGTTACTCGCAAAGTACAAAATTTTTTTTTTTCCAGTTGCTTCAAACTAATTCAAATGGTCTTCTGTTTACTTAATAAAAATATAGTAAACTTCAGAATATTTCAGTTGCATAAATTATTTGCACCAATAAATAAAATTTTTAACTAAAGATGTAATGAATATTCAGCCACTATTTCATATTCTGCTCTTTTGCCTAATATTCGGTAAAGTATTTTTTGAAAAAACATTGTTGACACAGTTTATTTATTTTGAATTTGAACAGATTTAATAAAGAATAATATAAAAGCGTATTTTTACTATACATTATTAGAAATAGTTTTCTTCTTTTGTACAATGGATACCCTCACACGTAGATATATCAGGCAATGAAATGGCAGATAGTCTTGCCAAGGCAGGTGCAGCTGAGGCCACTGTGCCTCCAGTGTCTCTTACCTCCTCAGAGCTCTTCTCTATTGCTAAAGTCAAAAATAAATCAGCATGGCTCACTCCACCCAGTCACAATTGGTACCAGACCGGGTAGCTGTTTGACAGCTGACAAAGACCGTCAGTCTCAAACCGCCATCACACGTCTCCGCTCTGGACACCTGAAATCACTGAGGTACTATGGAGGAGAAAAGTGCTTTGCCCTCTGTACCAAGTGCTCTTCGGCCCAGGCATCCCGACTGCCTCGGTCTTTTAAAACAAGACCTAATTGAAAGACCCTTACTTGTTTTAGAATTTTTGAAGGTGAACAATCTCATGGCCCTTGTCTAGCTAGGCTAGAAATGGGGATTTGAAAGAAGAAGAAGAAGAGAAATAGTTTTTACATATATTTGAGAAGTTCTAAAATAGAGGTGCACAACCTGCGGCCCATGAGAACTTCTGAACACAATGAATTTTCCTCTATATTTTTCAAAAATAAAATTTTTTTTTGAAAACTTTCGCTTATTTGAACCGTCACTTACTAATGTGCTCAATTTGCACAGATTCCGTGTTGCTTTGCGTGAATTGTGACTTTGAGTAATTACTTTTTGACTCGCTTTATTTTTGCCAATTTCAAGGTAAATCCAATTAACGTTTCATTTTTTTACACATTTATAAGTAGTAATTCCCATGTGGTTTTTAAAATTCCGATGCATTCACCACAATATTATGAGTCATGAGATTCCATCGCAAATCATGATTAATTATTTTTTTTAAAGGTAGTTATTGCTACGCTTTTCACATGATTTTGAAAGTCCCGCATTATTACTACAATATTATTACGACACTCGATCAAATCCCAAATTCAAATAATCACTTTTTGACACGCTTTGATTTTGCTAAGTTATTCTTCAACCATTTTTTGGGCGTTCCCAAAATTTTTAAAAATTCCAATTTTTATTATGATATGCAAATTATAAATCACACATTTAAATAATTACGTGCTTTATTCGTGCTGATTTTATTGTATATGTAAGCATTATTATGATGCTTTTCCAGCTGATCTTGACAGTTCTGTTACTTTAATTACAAAGTCATTATGACATGCAAGTTTTTATATTTTGTTCAAATTTTTTTTCGTAACTTAAATGAGTTTTTTAAGGAAAAAAAAAGTTTCCTATTTAAAATTCACAAAACCTTTAATGGTTCAAGAAAAAGAAATAATATCTGAAGTATAATAGTAAACTAAACTAAACTCAGTGGCGCGACAGCTCATAGAGGGCCAAGGCCTACTATGCCCAGCTCAGTTTTCTTGACCTTGGGCTCTGGGATGCAGGAGCAGATGTTCTGGTCAGGTAGTCAGCCGAACGTGGAACCCCCAGTGTTTAGTTCCCAAGCATACTTGGTACTCATTTATCGACCCACTGAAGGGATGAAAGTCTGAGTCAACCTTGCTCGGCCCGAGGATCGAACCAATGACCTGTGGCACGACAGAACGAAGCGCTACCGCTCAGCCACTGGGCATCGAATTATAATAGTAAATAAATATTAAATCTTTTTTTGAACTATAATGGTTTTGGTTTAATTTTTGCTTAAACCCTATAAATCTTCTTTCCTTAAAATATTTTCCTTATAATAATTTTTTTTTAGAATTTGCATATTTTCTCATATATATATAGAGAGAGAGTATTTAATTTTCTACAAATATGTGACTTAATTTTGATAAAAAAATTTAGTGCTTAGAACACAAAAATTTATATAAATATTATCATACTTGTCGCAAATGTGACCAAATATGCAAGTGACTAAATATCGTTAGTTAACCTGCTTTGCAAGTGGTCCCTCACTCAAAAAGATTGTGCATCCCTATTCTAAAACTTGCAAATTTATATTCTGAAAGACAAATGGAAAAGTGAAATTTGAAGTAGATTACTTTGTAACTAGATTACTTTGTACTAAACTACAAATTCTGTACTGCTGATTTTTTTAAAAATTATATTCAAGCATGTTAATTTTCTCATTTCTTCAAACACTTTTTGTTTTAAGAATTGAGAAGGATTATTTTTCCTATCTGCTTTGATTTTGCTATTTTTGTTATAGCCCAGCATTTTAATTGTTAGAGTTAATAGAAGGAAAAGCTGGAGTTAATTTTTGATAACTTCTTAGACTAGAGCAGTAATATAAAGGAAGATTTGAATTACTTGAAGGAACATTTGATGCTTATTTAGATTTTATCCTTTAAATAAATATGCTTGACTTTAAATAAAACTTCCTTCCTTTAAGCCTTATATTTTTTAATCAAAGAATTTTTACTGCCTTGCCAATTTTTTACTGTCCTGATTGTAATTCGTCAAGAAAAAAGGGTCACGGTAGAAAATAAGTTATTTAAATAATTTAATTCTGCTTCATTTTGTTTTATCATTTTAAACTACTCAGATAATTTTTTAATGAAATTCAGGCGAAGGTTTATCAGAAAACATTGCCTGTCCAGTGCAGGTATATGGTATCTATTTGACACTTAGTCTTTCTGGTGGTTATACCTGCTTTATTATTATTTTTGGTCATAATTTTTAACTTTTCAAGATTTTGTTAAAAAAAATCATTACAATCACATAGCAAAATATATTCAAGTGACTTTCCATCCTTAATATACATGCAACATAGTGGAATGTAGAAAAATTGTAAATAATTAGTCTGATAGGAAAACATTCCTAAAACTGAAAATTTTCAGAATTTGAATTTTATTCTTAAATTGAAAGTGATAGTTAGGAAACAAATATAAGTTTTCTATAATATTTAACTCATTCAAAAACATTATTTAAAAAAAAAAAGTATGCATACAGNATATTTTCTCAAATATATATATATATAGAGAGAGTATTTAATTTTCTACAAATATGTTACTTATTTTTTGATAAAAAAAAAATTTAGAGCTTAGAACATTAAAATTTATATAAATATTATCATATTTGCCGCAAACATGACTAAATATACAAGTGACCCTTCGTTAGTTAACCTGCTATGCAAATGGTCCTTCACTTAAAAAGATTGTGCCTCCCTATTCTAAAACTTGTAAATTTACCTTCTAAAAGACAAATGGAAAAGTGAAATTTGAAGAATTGTAACTAGATTATTTTGAACTGAACTAAAAATTTAGTACTGCTGATTTTTTTAAATTATATTCAGGCAAGTTGATTTTCTCATTTCTTCAAGCACTTTTTGTTTTAAGAATTGAGCAGGATTATTTTTCCTTTCTGCTTTGTTCTTGCTATTTTTATTATAGCCCAGCATTTTAATTGTTAGAGTTAATAGAAGGATAAGTTGGAGTTAATTTTTGATAACTTCTTAGACTAGAGCAGTAATATAAAAGAAGATTTGAATTACCTGAAGGAACATTTGATGTTTATTTAGATTTTATCCTGTAAATAAATATGCTTCACTTTAAATAAAACTTTCTTCCTTTAAGTCTTATATTTTTTAATCAAAGAATTTTTACTGCCTTGCCAATTTTTTACAGTCCTGATTGTAATCTGTCAGGAAAAAAGGGTCACGGTAGAAAATAATATATTTAAATAATTTAATTCTGCTTTATTTTGTTTTATAATTTTATACTACTCAGAAATTTTTTTAATGAAATTCAGGCGGAGGTTTATCACGATCATTGCCTGTCCAGTGCAGGTATAATGGTATCTATTTGGAACCTTGTCTTTCAGGTGGTTATACCTGCTTTATTATTATTTTTGGTCATAATTTTTAACTTTTTGAAAATTTTTTTAAAAAATCACATAGCAAAATATATTCAAGTGACTTTCCATCCTAAATATATATGCAACATAGTGAAATGTAGAAAAATTGTAAATAATTAGTCTGATAGGAAAACATTTCTAAAACTGAAAATTTTCAGAATTTGAATTTTATTCTTAAATTGAAAGTCATAGTTAGGAAACAAATATACCTAAGTTTTCTATAAAATTCAACTCATTCAAAAACATTATTTTGAAAAAAAAAGTATGCATAGAGCATAAAAATTATGTGTGGGACACAAAATATAAATTTCAGATGGAAAAAAAAAAAAAATAGCATTTTTCTTCTAGAAGAAAAACAGCTTCAGGTTTTTGTGAACAAGTGTTATTAAAAACATCTGCTATAGAATCGGTATACACAGCGAACAGAAAAAATGATATAACTTCAGGGCCCAACTTAGGCTTATTGGGGCCCCAGGCAAAAGCTACTATGGGGACTCCTTCTATTTCACTAATGAAGAACCGAACTTTATGGAGGTATTCAAACTTTTCACCTCATTATAGATAACAAGAAAATTGAGTGGAACCTAAAACAGCTATAAAATCCCCCTAAAGGTCAGACGAAATATCGTTCTGTCCATTTATGATTTTCTGACAATTCTATGTCCATCATGCTGAATGCAGTCTTCTGATTGCTAACTTTGTTATCTATCTGCGAAAAATTCATATCCTTGCTGACATTAGGGCGGAATTCAGCTACATTTTCGCAAATACGATGGCTCAATTAATCCATCCAATCTGAAGCCTGTATTTTTGTAAACATATCACACTTTGCAATATGTTAAAACTTAGACTTTTAATGGGCCAAATTTGTCCAATGTAATTGGGAAAATTTAGCTGAATTCCGCCTTAAAAAGTCATGGATTTATTAAATATAGATTGCGTTCATACAATAGATTAATGAAGAAGCTAACTAAAATTGACTGATTTTACACTGTACTGATATTTTGTTTAAAAAAAAGTTCATTAAAGAAACAAAGTTAACTTTCCATTCGACGTGGGGCCCAGGGCAACTGCCCTCGCCTTAGTCAGGCTCTGTATAACTAGGTTAAGTAAGTAGATAGATTATCTACAAGATATTTTTCATAATTTTAAACTTCACGCTGCCATCAATTCTCCCCAATTTATTTTTATGAATTCCTACACAGGGGATAATTCTTTTCTTTTAATCTTCCCCGTATAAATGTGGTGGTGTAAGGATGAACCAGTCGTTTTGGAAAATACAAATTAAAATTTAATTATCGCCCCTAACAAGATTTCTTGTAGCTTCGAAAATCAATTTCAAACACATATTTAGTGCTTGCATTAAATCTTTAAATAAATATAAAAGTGCAAAGCAAAACTTTACCAAAATTCAAAAAATAATAATTTAATTAACTCAGAGCAAATATTTTCTATCTTCACTGAGGAACAGATAAAACTTTTGTTTACACTTTCACAAGGCCGGTTTTGTCCATAATCGTTTGCTTAACGATTCTCTGCTTTCATGAAATGCCATTATTATGCTTGCCCAAATAATAAGGTTAATTTTTTTATGAGATGAATTTATTGAAAGTAATGCATAAATATAAATTATTATCAGCTGAAAATTATTCCATTAACTACTTAAATAATTAAAATGAATTCATTATAAATATTTTTCAAATTATAAAAGTAAATATGGCAACTATTTAGAAATGCTAAACTTAAAATTTTATCGTCTGCTGAACTTATCAATTTTAAAGAACACAATTTTGAAAACAAATTTAAAAATGGATATCGCTCCAAAGGATTCAGTAGATTTACGAGGCAAGGAAAAGTTGTTGATTTTAGAATCTTCCTGGGTTTTCATTTTAAATTATTGCTTTGAGATTCGGATAAAAATTATTTAAACTTTTCTAAGAATGTAACTTTAAATGATTTACATATGCCTCCTTCATAAATGTATATTTACTTATCCGTTATTATATTCTATTCACGATCTGATTTGATTACTGCGTGAGTAGACCGGGCCATTGCCCTATGGTCAACTAATGGCAGTTCTCTAAATATATTCGTTAGCTGAGAAGTCAACGTTTAAAATCTTCGATTTAGTTTACATTACTTAAGCTTGACTTATACATTTACAGAATTGGGGAGATTTCCTTATCGTGATCCGTGGCAGAATAATCGATAAGTCTGTGGCTTAACTGCCACTATAAATATTAAAATACCAATTCACTAGTATATAAGACATGTTAACCTTTTGATAGATGAATGTCGACATGGTCGATTTATAATTCCCCTCAAGTCTTAGCGACTTTTAGGAAGCGGTCTGCGAGTAATTAAAAAAAAAAACATCACAGAAAGGGACCAACTCGAAAAATATAACTTGTAGCTACCCTCTAGCAAACATCTACATGTTTTTTTTGTTTTAAAAAAATTTTCAATTTTAAAATCTATTGCGATTTGCAGATTTGGATACGAGAATATCTCCATAAAAATTTTAACAGACATACTCAACTTAATCTGGCCTTTATTTTGTTATTATTTCTATTTTATTAAGTTTTGGAAATTTTATGTTATAGGTTTAAGAGTTCCATATGATAACAAGGACGCAGAAAAGGATTTTGCAATAAAAGATCCCTTAAAGTTATTTGATCTGTGGTTTAATGTTGCTCGTAAAACAGATAGCATTATAGAGCCTAATGCTATGGCATTAGCGACAGCAACTAAGTAAGTAGCTTTTTATTTTCTAAAAAGTGTAGAATTGGTTTCAAATATTGGAAATTTTCTGTACCGTGATCTGGGACAAAATAATCACAAAATCTTGACATCTTCTAGTCAGCAACCTGTGAGAAACTAAGAAAAACATCACAGAAGGCGACCAACTTAAAGGTTATAACTCGTAGCCACTATCAGGCAAGGCAAACCTCTAAAGGTTTTTTTTTTTTTCTTTTTAAAAAAATTGCAAGATTAAAATCCATTTGGCAATTGTTAAAATCCATTTGGCAATCACAAGACAGAAATATCCCCCCCCCCAAATACTTTAGAATATTTAATTATCCAATATAGAAATAGGACAATCTCCCAGAAAGTAAATCATAGTTGATGCATTTCTTTCTTCAAATTAAATTGATATGTTCAATATAATTTTTAAGTTAAAAATAGAAAGAAAATAAAACTAGAAGAATTTTTTATATTTTTCTGCAATTTTTTTCTCTCCAAAACTCAGAAATGCTTTTTTCTCTGAGGAAGTGCCCTGCTCTTTTATATTCCTAGGGAGAACTCTGATTATGCATATTTTAGTTAGGCAATAATTTAGAAAGCATGAATGCTCTTTATATCAAAAATAGAATTTTGAAAGGGTTTAATAAATATTAAAACATATTTTCTGTTTGGTTTTGAATAACAATTTTATTTTTTAAAATTGTCAAGTGCTGTTTTATTTTAAGGGATTTGTCGTTCTTGTAGACTTTAGATGCAATATACAAACTTTATGATCAGGTAATGCTGTTGTTACATTGATATTTTTGATGTTTTACTGCAGTGTTTTCCAAACTTATGAATTTTGTGTACCCTTTCTAAATTTTTCGTAACGCTGTGTACCCCTAATAAAAAAATGAATGTATTTTTTAATATAAAAAATGCACAAAAGTTAAGAATCACAACTGGCTGTTGACACCACTGATTACACAGGCCTGCGATGAAAAAAATACAAGGGGTCTGATAGCTGAACTTAATGTATTTTTTGGTGCTGAAATGGAAAATAATAATGAAAAATGTCCATCACGTCACGTTTTTTAGAAAAATACAATTTTACTGGAATTTTATGGATATTTACCATAAAAAAAATTTTCATTTTTGAATTTCGTCCCTTTTTGATGGACCAGCATTCCACTTTGGTCAAACCTACAAAAGTACCCCTCTATCACAACTTCCTGTCACCGTCCCTCACTCTGTAACTATCTCTTTCTACCAATAGCGTCGCGAGAATCCTTATCTAGGTCCGCTGACCTCTCAAAAACACTAGCAAGCGTTACAGGGAGTCATTTTAAAGTTTGCTTTTTTCTGTGCGTTTCGTGAAACATGGCTTTGAGTTCAAGACATTGTGAAAATTTCCCAGTTGACTTTTGTTATACATGTGGCGAATATAGTGTAGTTAAAAATCGCATGAGGAGCATTACAGACTATGTAAGACAACTTTATCTCGCATATTTTGACATGGAACTCGGAGATCAGGACAAATCTTGGGCACCTCATAAAGTTTCTGTGCAGTGTCTCAATGATCTACACTTATGGCATCAAGGAAAGAAGACTACTTTACGATTTGGAATTCCTGTGACGTGGAGAGAGCCCCAAAACCACTTTGATGATTGTTATTTCTGTTCCTGCCATGTTCGTGGGTGTAACCGAAAAAATCAAAGACTAATATCTAAACCTGGCTCTCGTCCTGAACAAAATAAAATATATCGACCACAGTAGGACCATTTGCAGCGATTTGAAAGTTATCTCCATGCTTCTTGGTTAGCAAGGGGGATTTATAAAGTACCCATGTTTCATTTGTGAGTGGGACAGCCGTGACAAGACTTAACATTGGGTAAAAAAAGAATGGCCGAAAAGACAAAATCTTGACCCAGGCACCAAGAACGTTATTCGAAACAGCTTCTTAGTTGATCCGAAAAAAGTATTGTTACTTCCGCTACATATAAAATTAGGTGTAATGAAGCAGTCTGTTAAGGCTGTTCCAAAAGATGGCAATTGTTTTAAATACCTGTGCAAAAAGTTTCCAGATTTATCCCAAGCTAAGTTGAAAGAAGCAATATTTGTTGGTCCAGATATCCGCAAACTCATGAAAGATAAAGAATTTGAGACTAACATGAGAGACAGAAACGGAAAAAGAAGCTTGGGTTGCTTTCAAAGACGTCGTCAGTAAATTTCTAGGTAATTACAAGGATCCTGATTATAAGGAAATTTTGTAATGAAAATGCTGGACAAATTTAAAACGTTGGGTTGCTCCATGAGTGCAAAAATGCATTTCCTTCACTTACATGTGGACTTTTTCCCTGAAAATTTAGGAGCAGTTAGCGAAGAGCAAGGAGAAAGGTTCCATCAAGATATCAGAGATATTTAGCGTAAATATCAAGGAAGATGGGACAAGAACATGTTCACTGACTACTGTTGGATAATAGCTCGGGATAAACCTGAGATTAAGCATGAAAGAAGATCATCAAAAATAAGTTTCAGAGGAAAACGAGTATATACTTAAATAGAAATATTTCTCTTTGGTATTTTGCTTGTTTTGTTTTTTGTTTCAAACTTTCATATAGACATACACAATATTTGTTATTCTTGGTAAATCGTCAATTTTACGTAAGTTAAATGGTATGTTGGATTGTATGATGGTTTGTTGGATTTAAATGGATAATAAATAATAAAAACAAATAGGAAAATAAAATATATGAAACATACAAATATAAATAAAAACAAATTAAAATGGTATGTTGGTGATTTTCTTCTATAAACTGATGTAAAAAGTTTGAACACAAAGAACTTTATTGTTTTTCTCTTGACCAGAGGTGACTTCTGCTGTCTGGTAACAGTATTTTTTATTCATTTTAACCTATAAAAAGTCAACTGATAGCTCAAAAATCAATTTTCTTTCACAAGATTAAATTTTACATAGATGAAAATGAATGAAGAGAACAATTACCGGATAGTACATGCAAAATTATTTGAGAGAATTCCTTTCCAAATAGGATTTTAGTAAAAACATTAATATCGATTTTATAAAAAATCCTGATGTGATTGGGGAAAATGAAGGTCATTTTCAAAATCAGCACATCAAATAACATATAAATCAACAATAACTTCTCTTGTATTTTTCAAAAAGTTCAATTTCGCAGGCTTGTGTTATTAACTGTTAACTCTGCAAAAAATAGCCAATAGAAAAATATATAATCGTAAATTTTTATGGCTAGCTTTGTTTTTAAATAAAATTTTCTGAAATTTTCATTTGTTGCAAGATATTTCGCATAAGAACGCATACCCCCTCTAAACTGTTTCTGTACCCCTGGGGGTACGCGTACCACACTTTCGGAAACTAGGGGTCTGTCCAGGCCGAATTTACTACCGTTTAGCGGTACCTTCACAAATTCAATTTTAGTTAAAACGGTAGTTTCACAAATTCAACTTTAGGAAAAACGGTAGCTTCACAAAATACTTTTTCTTAAAATTTTGTTTTTGTATCCCTTAAGAAACATTAAATCTATATTTTTAGCATGTTTTAGTGTTGATTTTTTAATATAATTTTTAATTTTTCACAAATAATGTCTAAATTTTCACAAAATAGGTACCTTTCAGAAAAACCTAGACAGACCCCTGGAAACACTTTTACTGAAATTAATACTCCATTAGTAATTGAAAAGAGTCAGGACAAAAATGTTCTAACATTGTCATTTCAAGAATATTAAAATAGAGAAGTTTTAATGAATTGCAAGAAATTTATACAATGAAGCTGTCTTAACTCTATTTATTGTTTTAAAAATATTGACATTTTTTTAAATCGAAAATATAAGATTGGAAATTTTCTGCTTAAAATTCTTTACTAATTTATTTATTTACACTTTTATTTAAGGAGTGGAAAACCTTCAGTGCGTTACCTACTTTTAAAAGGTTATGGCAAAGATGGATTCTCCTTCTTTTCCAATTATGAGAGCAGAAAGGGAAAAGAAATTGTATGTTAATCAAGTTCTTTTTTTGTGTGTATTAAGAAGTTTTGTTTCTTCCTTTTCAAATGGATTCATGAATTAGTTTAATAATAATTATAGTGGTCAATTTTATAAATAAAGAAATTGTTTTTAAAAATAAATATAAATTTTGCATTTAGAAAGTTTTCAATGAACACTATAAATCAAGAACAATGAAAAAGAGTCAAGTTAAAGTGAAAAATCTTATTATTCTAAATATTTTCAATCTTTTCATAACTTTATCTGCTGTCAAGAATTTAGCTAATAATATCACTTTTATATTCAATTAAGATGTAATAACATTAAATTCAACAGTTTAGTTGTTTTTTGAGAACCAATTTAATTTAATTGGAGTTTCGTACAATCTATATTTCTCCTTCTGAAGCTTTTAAAATTTTTTAATTTTCTTCAAAAATAAGTTTTACTTGTTATTTTTGATAAAAAAAAATTAGATTAGTCGTATTATTCTCGTGAAAAATAATTTTATTAATTATTTTAAAAAAATGTCTGAGTAAAATAATAATTTCAAACAGTCATTCTAATGTGAAATCACTTAAATAATATATTTTCATAACATATAAATTGTATTTGTCTGTATTACAATATCCTTTGTTACGGGCTAGTTACATTCAAAAACATTAACATACTAATTATTATCATTCTGAAAATCAGTACATTTAGTAATTGATCATATAAATTAATTATGAATTTCATTATGGTAATCTTGTTAGTGTAAGTGATGTAAGTAGCATCTAAAATTTCAAAAAGTGATGATCAACTTGTAGCTTTGTCAATTAAAGGAAGTTAAAACTGGCGAACTTTTTTAATTTCATTCTTTTAGTTTATTATAAAAAAGGAATACTCAAAATACATTTAATGTTTCATCCTGGATGATCGTAATATTAGTATTAACGAATGAATTGTAAAATTTAATGTTAATGAAATAAAATTATAGGTTTTTAAGTGCATGTTCTATCATTGACATTATAATAAAGATTTTAATTAAATAATTATTATATTCTGATAAGATATTTACTATCATTTAATATAATTCACATCAAAATATCAATAACTCAAGCAGTTAAAATTTAAATAATGAATTTCTTTTCTGTAGCAATAAACATAAGTTAGAATTTTTTATATCCTTGAAAATTTTGAGTAGTTAGTTAAATTGCTAAAGAACTATTTAACATCTTATTTTCAAATTTTAATTAAAACGTTGTCAATTGTAAAGTGAGTCATTTTTAGAAAAAAAAATATTAATAAACCCTTGGAAAACCTCTGCCGAACTCTTGAAAGACCTCTACTGAACCCTTGGAAGACCTCTGCAAAACCCTAGTGTTGCACGAAACACAATTTGGGAATACCTGATCTAGGTTATTCAAATAAATTGTATAGTCTGGAGCTATAAATGGATGAAATATTATTTACATAATAAAGAATTGGATTTTTGATGTACCAAAAAATATAGTCATTTTATTAAGCTGAACCATACCAGGTATGGTTTAATTTAATGCATTATTGATAAGTTACAAGAGTATGAATAATATATCTAGCTATAAATGTAATTAAAGACTATTTTATAGTTCGCATTTTTTTGTTTTCAAGCAAAGATTAAAAGCACCAAAATTAGCACTATCTATGAAAATGGGTAATGAAATAAGTAAATAGTTAAAAATATGCTTGATGTTTTTTTATTCAATTGTTTTTCTGTTTTATTAAGTCTTGCATAAAATGTTCTAATTTATTTCTTCAATAATTATGCATAAAAAATTATGAAGGGAATATAACACAAATACATTTGCTTTAACTTTCAGATTCTAAGTTTTATTAAATTAATTCTTTTTGTTTAAATTAGGCTGAAAATCCTCAAGTAGCACTTTTATTCTATTGGGATTCGTTGTGTCGTCAAGTAAGAATAACTCTTTTATCAAAAATTATTATAAAGTTTTTATCATATTTGTTATACTAGGTTTAAGTTGGTTTATTAGGTTAGTCATCTGATTTTTTTGTTTAACTTATTTTTTCCTTTTTAGAGTTTCGAACTTTGGCTTATATTATATAGAAAATTAATTATTGCACGTATAATATTTATAGATTAGAATTGAAGGAACTGTAGTTAAACTTAGCGAAAAAGAATCTGAGGATTATTTTCACCAACGTCCTCGAAGTAGTCAACTTTCTGCTTTAGCCAGTCACCAGAGTGAAGTTATTGAATCAAAAGATGTAGGTAAAATAGATTACATACTTTGACTTTTGTCATCAGCAAATTAAAATATATATATTTATGACTATTTGAATTATTAAAAATTTTCACTTTAATTTAAATTTTCCCTGTCTTTATCTAGTTTTATGATTCTCACCTGGTGGTCCATATAGAAGTCACCAGTGGTCTGTAAGAAGACCATCATAATTAAAAAAAACATGTGTTTATTACTAAAACATAGATTTAAACTGGAATAAATCAAACTAAAATAAAATATATTTTTGTTGCATAGTTACTTTCAAATTTGGAATCATGTACAGGTGCTATATTTTTTAAAGAATAAGGTCAGTAAAAGACACGCCAATAAATCATTTTACATAAACACTGGAAAGTAATGCACAGTATATTTCATCTTATTTTCTCAATATATGTTTAGCATTAAAGTTACTATATTTTTTTATTATAAGATATTATATTTTTGACACTAAATAACATAATAATAAGATTGAATTGATAGTGGGTATTTGAACAACAGTGAAATTTAAATATTTTTTTTTTCAAATTTGCATTTCTATTAATTTTTGATAGTGGATAACAATTACTTATTACAATTTAATTGTGATACAATTTTTGTTTAGGTTCTTGTAAGAAAAAAAGAAGAATTGGAAAATAAATATCCGGAAGGTACTTCCAAACTTCCTAAACCTGATTACTGGTATGTATGAAGGATATATTTATTTCAAACAAAATTTTAGTTTTACCTACTAAGTTTTATTTTTTTTAAAAAGTAGGATATATTTAAATTTCGAAAAGTAAAGTTTCATTATTCCCAAGAATATTTTAAAGCTAGGATATAGTGCTTATGGGGTAGCTAATATATATATTTTTTAAACCTATGCAGAAATTATTAATTAAACTGAAAATAATAGTAAAACACTCCTAAACCAGCCAAATCAAGGTAGCCATGAACTTTAAAGCTCCATAATTTCATGACCATTGACAGGATGGTAAAAATATTATCAGCCATTACAGACCAGCCACTTTTACTACCCATACAAGCTGGTTCTGATTGATTTAAAATAAGTGGGCTTCATGCTATCACCAGGAATGGAATCCAAGTTTTTTACAATGACAGTACATTTCCTTATTTAGTGTGCCATCGTATTTTACTGAAAAAAATATAAGCATTAAATTTGAGATGTTTAATAATTTCCCATTAAATATTTAAATACATAAAACTGAAGCTGTTTTTCAAGTTTTTATTTTAGATTTAGGTTTTATCTATCTCTATCAAGAAGACTGGCTAAACAATACTATTTTTTAGATTTAACTTTCTGAAATAGGATTGCGAAATTAAATTGCAGAATCAACTACCACTATATTGAAATCAAAATTTTTTAATGATATTATTGATGATTAATTGATAATTATTAGACATCAAATAATCATTTGTTGCCTCATTGATTGTAATATTAATTAGTAATTAATGTTAAATGTTGCATTAAATTTTCTTTAGTCTTTAATGAGTATCATAAAATTAATAAAAGTTAACTGATGGAAATGGAAAATTAAATTAAACATAAAGAGGGGAAGAAATATTTATAATTATATTTGCAGTAAACTTCATGAGCTTTGAAGGAGAGAATTAAAATAATATGAATCAAAACCACTTAAAATATATATATGTAAATTTAAATCCATTTGGCGATACCTCCAGAAATTATAATTTTTTTTTTTATTATTAGAAATTTAATATATTGTGTATAAGATCTACTTAATAATAAAGTGTGAGCAAAGTATTTTCCATTATAAGTATAGTCAATGTAATTTTTAACTATGTGGGAAATGATTATTGATTTTCTTCCTCATTCCATTATAAATCTTAATTGTCACTGAATATTTGATTTTTAAAGTATTTCTCATATTGTACAAGAGGACATTTTTTTTAAATTTTAACTAAGAGTAGGAACTTACAGCTATTGTTATATTTATAGTTCACAAAAAATTTTAATCAAATAGATCCATTTTTGAAAACCCACATAATTTTATATTCAAATCACAAAGTTTGTCTAAGTCACATAGTTTGAAATAAATGATTAAATTTTTTTTATCATTTATTTCAAACTATGTGACTTAGACAAACTTCAAACTAACTTAAAATTTTTCAATGATACTAACTGCCATTGGCAACCAGCTTGGTCACCTTTCAAATTTATCTTGTACAACATATAAACTTTAATGATAATCAAGCCGAATGCTCAGCATTTAATATATTTAAATATTCTAATTCTTCAATCCCTCCTCCAATCCTAACACCTTAACTAGTTTTAAAGAATATATTAAAAATTTTTTTTCACCATCCATCTGTTACCTGGGGCTTTGCTCGCTTGGAAGTACTTTGATTTTAATGTTAACTATTTTTAAAAGATGTCTTTATTGAACTACAGTAACAGTATAAAATCTGTACTACAGCCCCTTAAATTATTCAAACCACTATAAGTATGAGTTTAGGATATTTTAGTATAGTAGCAGCAAAAGTATTAAAATTATTTCCACCTCTGTCGTCATATAAGATAGCAAATTCACCCCAATGCTTCATTGCTTGCTTTATTACTTCTTTACCGAATCATATTCAAGCTGTGGTTCAAAATAATACTGTATATATGCTATTATTGATATAATACTCTATGTATGCTAATAATTTGATATTATACTGTATATATGCTCATATAATACTGTATGCATGCTGTTGCTCGAAAAAGGCAAGCTCCATCCCTAATAATTGGTATGACAGTATGTGGCACCACAGCACCGTTTAGGTTTAAAATTTCGAATGACATTTTAGAAAGGTTCAAAAATAAATCTAAATTACTTTGTTACTATTATTATAGTAATAGATAAATAAAGATAAAGAATAAGATAAATAAATAAAGAATAGTCCAATAGATAAAGAAATATCCAAGTTTATGTGCCACAGAAGAGAAATATATGTATAATTACTAATATTATATTACTACAGAACAATAATATAACTATTTCTGTTGGATAATGTAAAGTCTAAAAATATTAAAAAGATAATTGGTTGGCAAAAGCATAAATTAAATAAATAAACACATAAAGAGATAAATTTAAAAAAATAAAAAACAGACGATAAAATTAGAACACCAAAAGAAAGTTGTTGATTATTTTTAAGATTAGTTTTATTGTGGAATTTGAGTTTCCGTATATCCCGTTACGGGGTTTTCTAGTTGTTTATGATCTTTTCACTATCCCGTTACGGGTACTGTATATTTGTTACTGTTTGTGTTGTTTGTTAATAAAAGTTTTTTATAATAAAAAAACTGAACAGTTCTTGATATAGCTTATGATACGTTACAATAATTTAAGAATAATTTTTATTAAATGGTATTGTTTTTTTTTAAAAAAAAGGTTGGTCTGAACTAATTGAAATTTTAAAATAACTCAAATTAAACAAGTCTTTATCGTACTATTACTACTTAATAAAAGTAACATAGTTAGCAGCATATATGAAAAGATATACTCATTTATTTTTATTAAAAATTATTAAGAAAATCATTGCACTTATGGACCAGAAGTCACAAACTGTTTTTTAGAATTATAGAAAATTTAATAATATAATTTTGTCATTGATTAACTTAGCATACTTCGCAATATTTAGTTTATAAATACATTATTAAAGAGTTAATTATAAACATTTTCAGCACATCAGAATGTGTTGCCTTTTACTATTTTTAGCTTTGTAAATCAGATGAATTATGAAATTCCATGATAGTAACTTTTGAAAAATTTTAGGTTTTTTACTTTTAATTTAGATGCAGCACTCTACTGCAAACATAGTTTAAGATAGTGTCATGTTCTAGGAATTTTTTATTATTAAGAATTATTTTTTAAATATTAAGAAAAAGAAGATAAAATTCTTTCACATATGTATGTCTGTATTTCATATATATATATATATTCATATATCTCTGATATATATAAATAAATAAAATGTCTGTCTGAAATGAAATTTAAGTATTTTATTAGTATTTTTCTTCGAAGTGAAATGTTTAAAACAAATTTTAATAGGGGTGGCTACAAAGTGATACCTGAATCATTTGAATTTTGGTGTGGAAGAAGCGATCGGTTTCATGATAGAATACGCTTTAGGAAACTGTCTGATAAGGAAAAAGCTGATGAAAAGTTGATCTATACCGGGGAAAATGGATGGATATATGAATATTTGTCTCCATAATGCCTAGGATGTTATGTTTTGTACATGTTTTATATTTTGACACAATTTATATTTGCAATTATAATTATTTCTATGATGCATATTTACACTTCATTTCTTCAAAAAATTGTTATATATTTAGGCAGCTTAAAACTTGCTGTTTTATTTAAGAGTTTTAAAAAAATAATTGTTTATGTTTTGACTCATCCTATTTTTAATTTTATGAACTTGAAGAGTATCATTTTCTATTTTTAAAATTTAGAAGCTTGAAGCAATATTATAAGTCAAATTTTCAAATCTTATAAAAGAGCTTTTTTCATTAAAGAAAAAAAAAATAAAAAAACAACATGATTTCTATGTTTAATTTAGAAAAAAAAATTCTAAATTGGAGGTTACAAAACATAAATTTATTATAATTATTTGATTTTAATATAGAAATAATTTGAATCATTTTATAATTAAATGTTAATTTGTTACATTTTCTAATTTCCATTTTCTGGCTAATTTCATCCTCTATATCTGATAAAGGAAGGGTTCTCAAACAAATTTATGTCAGGGGTTCTTTCAAAATAGATTTCCAAAATTTCTCAAATGAAAATAAATTTTTTTCTAACCTTTAGCACAGGAAAATGTAAATTTTGTTTGTCAATATGCTATTATTCAGAGTACCAACCATATTAGTGCAGATGATTTCTGTTATTATTCACACAGTTTTATTTAATACATATTTCTACTTAATGTTATATTTGCCCACTATTTTTTTCCATTTTGAAAACTAGCATTTTCAGGGTATTTTATTAAATAATGAATATTTAGTAAACAAATTGCTAATTTTAAAATTAATCCTTGGGTTGGTAAAAAAAATTTGAAACTAACTTTAATTATATGGTGACTTATTCATATAATTATTATAGAACAGCAATTTTTTAATAAACTTATTTTTATGCAAACGGAAGAAAGCACAGTGTAAGGATCGCTACAGTTTGTATTGGTTGTCGAAAGGATTAAACAGTACCCAATTCAAACTTGGAAGAAAAAATTTGCTTTTGAAAAATCAGGTAAATTTTTAAAGCAGCGTATTCCAGGGTGTTGAGGAGAGAAAATGTCTTGGGCTATACTGGGCAGAATATGGTGGCTCAATGAATTTTCGACAATGAGTTTTATTGAAATCATAATACAATTTGTTGTTTATGTTCATTTATCAATTGAAATGTTTTTTTTTTAAATGAGATTTCATTATGATTTATCATAAATTAATTTATATGTCAACACAATCACTCAGATAACGAGAACCAAATAATCTGCAAATGAATAACCAAAATTATTCTGTAATTATTAGCAGTGTAAAGGACTTTATCAAATATTTTCTCAAGTTTTAAGTGTTATTAAACTTTTATTTTCTCAAATTTTTTTTTTTATGAACTTATACTGTTCTAATATATCAATTTTTTTTCTTATGTATAATTTAATGTAAAAAAGTGCTAATAGTATATGTTGCTTTATTCATAATTTGACTTTATATTTTATTTAGAGTTTTGCAAACTTAGAACGCATTTTTTTCATTTGAGCACTGAAAGGATTACGTTTAGTTTCTGGCAGAATGATTTTGTGCAATGAGAATTTGCGAATGGAATAATTACATTATATTTGGTGAATGCATTCATATTTTTTACCATAATTTATATCCCTACTGTGGTGTTTTTCCTAAGAAGGAAGAAAAAGTGTTAAATTTTGATGTAAATTGGGCAATAAATTTAATGCTCTTAATTAGTTTACATAAATTACTGCTTATCATTGTCTTGATCAAGTATTTTTGTTCTATCTGGTTTAGAATAAGAAAGTACTTTTTGTGCCTATAAGTATTTTAAAGTTAAAGTATAGTTTCTTAAAATTAAAGTACAGAATGCTTCAATAAAGACTGTAATAAAGAAATGATTTATAATTCCAATAACTTAAACTAAGATTTATATTTTTTTAAATTCCTCTTTTTCTGTTACATAGTTAAAGGCATGCTTGCATTTTATTACAGATGCAGTTATCTTCTAGATTTATTTTTGCACATTTGATTACTTTATATTTTCCTATTATTTTCTAAAAATTTATCAAACATGATGACTTATCTCCAAATAATTTAAATGCATAGTTGTATTTTTCTTTGAAATTTATAAAATTTTGAGAAGTACATTGGCCATATTTAATGTAACACTGTTTAGACATTATGTAATATGGCATTTGAATTATTTCATATTCTAATATTCCGAGATTCTTTTTCACATACTTTTTAAAATAAAGCCGCGGTGGCTCAGGGGATAGAGCGTTCCCTTTCCGATGAGGTGAACCGGGTTCAAATCCCAGTGATGGCTGGTTGAAACAAATTCTGCACCAATGTAAAATATCCTCAGTGGTAGACAGATCATGGGTTGGAGACCCGTTGTCGTTTGGAAATTACTGGGAGGTTCTCCTCTCCATGTAACGCAAATAGGGGCAAGTTCCATCAAAAAGTCAGCAGCGAAGGCAAATTTCTCCTAATACTTGATCCAGGAGTTCCCTTGTCTTCTGGATTGGGTTCAAAATTACAAGGCTAGTTGAACATTGGTAGGTATTGACCCAAAATTGGGTCGCCTGTTCAACGACGGTCATAAAATAAAATACTTTAAAATGAAAGAGCACATGAATTTGATCTATTTTGACACAATAATGCTTAAGCAATAAAAGTAGAAACAGATTAACTGTAGTTAAAAAAATTATTTTTTTTAAAATTTGTTTCTAAACTATAAATGGGCTTCCAAAAAAGCTTTTATAATAGGCAACATGTAATTTTCGTATTTTGTGAAGTAGCAGACTTAGACTTTATAGTTTGATATCATTGACTTTATTAAGTCAATGATTGTTGCCTTAAAATCAAAACCAGCAGGTTTTACTTCAATGGGGGACTAAAGATTTTTTCCACTAACAGTAGATTGTTATTTGAATTCTCTTTTTTCCAAGTTTGAAGAAGATAACATCTAGGCAGAAATGTTCACTGTTTAGTAACTAGTACCTATCATGACTTGTTTATTATGCAGGCCAACTCGTGTGAATTTTCTATTCAGACTAAACATGAAATGGGCTTCCAAAATGGCTTTAATATGCCGCATTTTTTTTTATTATGTAGCAAAGTTAACAGAGTTTTTTAGGCAGTTTAACATCCTCAAGTTATTGAAGAATCAAAACAAACAGGTTTCACTTCACTGGGAAATTAAGATTTTTCTTCTACAAACCCACTTATAGTTTATAGTCTTAGCAGTTAATTTTGAGGATAACATTTAGACAATAATACATACGGTTGTGGTGTTAATTAGTTCCTCCTATCTTTTGTTGATTATTGTGAGAGTCAAATTTTCTATTCATTAAGGAGTTTGTATCTTTGTATTTAAATAAAGATAGATATACTTCTTGTTGTAATTTTACTGTGACAAAATGAATTAAATTTTATTTATTACAGTAAAAAGCATTTCTATTTATTCTTATTAATTTGCTAAGTAATATACCAAAAACAACTTGAACAGCTAAACTATTGTAAGTTATAACAAACCTCCTGAAGTTGAACATTAAGTATCACTGTATCCCTTTGCTGATATGCTTATAAAGTGTGAACATGTTCAGTATTTTGGAAAGTTTAATTTTTACCTATTTAAATTTTTTCCCACCATTTCACCACAAAGTTTTTATAAAAGCTTGTAAAGTATAAATTGAATTAAAATAAATATTGCTTTGATTAATCATTAAATTATACACTGTTTTATTACTCAATATCTTTTTAATTATTGAAAAGATTAAGAATATTAGTTTTCAGATTATTTATTAATAATTTCTGAAATAATAATTACTGTTAGGAATTAATAAGCATTTGAAAAAATTTGTGATTTAATTTTTTATAGTAAAATTATTTAAAAAAAGATGTCAGTATCAATAAATTAGGTTGATTTGTTTATGAGCAATATATATTTATCTCTGACAATGTTTTTTACTAATCTTACAAAAAATACATTTTATGTCCAACACCACAATACATTTATTAAAGTTACTAAGTACTTAGAAATATCTTTATGGTTTTAAAATCTTTTATTGTGTTAAATGTGTTACTTATAAAATCTTAGCTAAATGTTATTAACACATTTTTTTTTTTTAAATTTTCAAAATAGATCAATATCTCATTTTTTAAAATTTGAAGTTAAAAGTATACTACAACATATGTTGTTGTAGTACATGTACCCGTGAGACTTTTTTTTTCCCTTTTTATCATGTGAAAAATGAAGTTTGCATTGACAAGTATGTCGATCCACTTAAGTTTCATAGAATTATTCATTTCAAAGAAAATTATTATTTTAATTTTGAAAAAGAGTAGAACAGGGCAAGGCTAAAATGCCAGTGAGTCAAAAGTTAGTATGCATTGTCATTTTACAGTTAGTGTTTGCCATTTCTTCAAAAAGTAACTGGAAAAGCATTAAACAAATACAAGCCTTTAAATTTCAAATAAAACTATGGCCTTTTGGCCATAGTTTTATTTGGGTTATCATTTTACTACCTTTATGGGTTATCATTTTTTAAAATTGCTTATAAAACACTTTTAAATGAGAGAATAATTTTTAAAAAAAAAATTTCTTTCAAGTGTTTGTGTTTTAAAAAATATTTTTATTCCTGGTGTGGAATAGAACAGCTGATTTATTCACAACTGGTCATAATAGAAATTAATTGGACTGCATATTTGACAAACTAAACTATGTTATATTACAATGTAGTGTATCTACCACTACAAAAATATAATTCCAATTCACCAGTATACAAGACATGTGTTAACTTGATTCTATAGTGGGGCACCTTTTCATACATGAAGGTTGACATGATCAAAAACTACTATCCCCACATACAACATTGAATGGCAATTTTTTCCAATAATATAAATAACAAACTTATGGCTGTAATGATTGGGGGGGAAAATTTATATTCAATGCTGATATTCTAAAATGCTTGAATTAAAACTAATCACTAGTAACAAAACAAGAATTTAGGAATGTTTTAAAACAAAGTTTTAAGTTACACAGTTTTTGCTGTTAAATATAATTGTCTACAATGCATATAATATAAATAAATTTTTGTTTTTACCTGTCAACGTTTAATATTTTTACATTAAAAAATAATCATAGTTCTTTGAATTTGAAAATAGATGTTTAAAGCAATAAGATATTAAAATGCTTCATCAAATTTTTGCTACTTTCTTCTAAACAATACATTATAAATATATTGACACCATTAAATTTCTTTTCTACTTTCACTTAATTTAGTATATAAAAAAAGTTAACCTTTATTACTAATTTAAAATTGAGCTAACTTTTCACACATCTATTACAAGAGAAAAGCTTTAAAAGTCATATCAGATAATGAAGCTTTTTAAACATTATGTGGTCAATAATGATCCTAAGCTTCTTTCCTTCTGTAAAATTGTAATTATGAATGAGAGATGGAGGAATTGTGTTTATAATTAAACAACAAAATTAAAGTTATAAGTAAAAAAATTTTTTTTTGGTATAAATTAATAAAAATCAGATAAAAAATGTGAACAGAAATTCTTTTAAAAAAAATCACAGTTGATTTAAATCAAGGATTTTTTTTAATTAAAATAAAATCAAGTGATTTAAATCACACCAATCCTGGCTACAATAAAAAAAAATTTCTTTTATATTTGTTATAAAAGTTTTTTTAAAAAAATATTTTGTTCTATTTAAGTATTAAAAAAATAGCAAAGATTTTACTATAATTATAGAAAAAACCATTTTATTGTATGGACATTAATGAAGCAGGAGCTAGGGATAGTTTTAAAGTTGATCAATAGTTTCTATTTATTAATCTGTACTTCAATATAAATGGCTATCTATCTTTTATGCGATTCTCAATTTTTCTAAAATTCTTTGCAATACATTTCAACAAATAGAAGCTATAAAATTTAAAAACTTTTTATTTCCTTCGATTCAATCATACTTTTGTATAGCAGAATATACATTTATTTATTAAAGAAATGAATTATCAAAGTTCTAATAAATTAATAAAAATAAAAACAGTTTAACCTTTTTATTAGCATGCCTATTAAGGTTTCTAAAAAAGTTCATACAATAATTCTCTTGCTGAAAATTTTTTCCACATAGACAGAGATGTTGCATTTGCCAAGTACCCTGCATTACAAAAACTCTACTGTTTGTCTAAGTCTAACTGTTACTGTCTAAGTCTAACTGTTTGTCTAACTGTTACTCCTCCAGACATTCATCTGGAGCTGTGGTGGTGACTATGGTAACGAGATACGATTATTTCAAGTAGGGGTGCAGGGTCCCAGTTTAGGAGTGGCTTCGGCTAGGCGAGAGAAAAGGAGACCTCTTTCTTCGGCCTATTGTGTTATTCCTAGAGTGAAGAGAAATAAGCATTCGTGCCTGAAACATCGTTTAGAGCGTTCAATTCCTTTTTCTAAAAATCTTTTCTCTTTTTCAAAAGCTTCTGTTTAAAAAAAAATTTTCAACAAATTTTTTATTTTTCCTCTTTTAACTTTTTTGAGAAATAAAAAGTTTCTAAGAAGTCAGTTTCTGAGAAGTAAAAGTTTTTCTTATAAAATAAAAAGTTTCGATAAATGATGCAAGAACTACAAAATTTGACAAAATATTTTTTAAAATAATAAAGCCCTTGTAAAATTTATAATGGCAAACAGAATAAATTAATAATCACTATTTTTACGTTTTGACTGCTCTTATTCAAAACTAAGAAAAGATTATACAAACTTGCATAAGAAAAAAAAAACAATAACAAAAAAACGGTTAAATAATTTAAGACAGTGTTTTCACTACAGCGCGAGAATCTCGCATATTTTTTTTTTCTCACATTAAAAAATTAGAAGTTTGTGCATTCTAATAATCAATTTTAAAATGCGCGAATCTCTCGAATTTTGGAAAAAATTTCGTCTTCCGCCATTTTAAAAAAAACATGAAAACAGCTATGACAAGTGTTGAGAAAAAAATGAGCCCTTTATAATAAGTTGTTTAAAGTTAGCTCTATTTTTAGCTGTTAATGAATTACCAAACTCCCTCATTGACAATTTACAGCAATTTGTAAAAGTTGAAGTCTGGGAAAACTATGCAGGAAGACCTAACAAGAAGCATGAACATGGAAATAACTTCAACGAACTTCACTATTCCATAACCGAAATAATTGAAAAGCCTATGCGGGCAGATGTAGAGGATAGGAAAGTGTGTGCACAATGCTACAAATTTAATTAGTGATTCCGAATAGTTCAGCATCTGTTGCAAGGTCATTTAGCACCCAAAAGCGAATTAAAACAAAATATCGTAACAGATTGACTGATGAGCATTTGAGTGACCTAATGAGAATACCGATGAAAAAGTAGATATAGAAAATTTTTCATATGGTGATGCAGCAAAAATATTCAATGGTTTAGAAATTAGAAAATGTATTATAATTAAAGAAATATTTTTTTCCAAGTCTATTTGTGTTTTTATAACTTTTAGAAATCTCACATAACTTTTTGAAATCTCACCCTGTTTTGGAGAGAGGGTGAGAAATTCTCTCCCATTTTTCTTCTGTAATGAAAACACTGTTAAGATCAGAAGATTTTTAATGAAATTCAGACGGAGGTTTATCATGATCATTGCCTGTCCAGTGCAGGTATAATGGTATCTATTTGGCACCTTGTCTTTCAGGTGGTTATACCTGCTTTACTATTTGGGCTTGTTATTATTATTTTGGGCTTGGCGAACAAAAAGCAAGGGGCGCGCTCAAATGATCAGAAACTCGGGTCCACAATCGTGGTTGCCGGGAGAAAAGTGTTGCACCAAGCAGACTCCTCAATTCTGCTTTTAACATGTAAAGTCTATGGCGGGCTTGTCATACTTTGAATCGATTTTTCTTGTTCAAGAATCGGAGTGATCAATTAAAAAAAAATACTAATAATTTTTTCAATCTTTCCTATCCACGAAAATGTAGGTTAATTTTTTTAATCTTTATTACTTTTTGTAATATTGCCTTTGAAACACAAGTCACTTTCTACCTTTGAGTAAGGGAGGAAGGCAACTTCCACCCCCAAGTTCACTAATCTTCTCGGTGGGAGGTCTTGCTCCCTTTTGAAAATCTTTTTCTCTCTCTGTCCTTCTGAAGAACTGATATGGGGAACGCTTTAAAAACCGATAGCTTTCTTTTTAGTTATAAGCTTGTAATTTATTATGAAAATTATATTTGCTGATAATTCGTTCATTCTATATACATTTTATTTATTTAGTAGTAATAATTTTCTTGTTTTTATTCATTTTGAGAATGGAATTTATTTTTTAAATACATTATTCCCCTTTTTTTAAACTTTGTTTCTTGTTTTTTAAAGATGTTTCAGAATTAAAAAAAT